GGCCACCCTGGGCTTGATCCTCTGCGTGAGCCTGGCGGGCAACGTGCTCTTCGCCTGGCTCATCCTCAAGGACCGGCACCTGCACCGCGCCCCCTACTACCTGCTGCTGGACCTCTGCCTGGCCGACGGGCTCCGCTCGCTGGCCTGCTTCCCCTTCGTCATGCTGTCGGTGCGCAGCGGGGCCGCCTGGCCCCACGGGCCCCTCAGCTGCAAGGTGCTGGCCTTCCTGGCCGTGCTCTTCTGCTTCCACGCCGCCTTCCTGCTCTTCTGCGTGGGGGTCACGCGCTACATGGCCATCGCCCACCACCGCTTCTATGCCAAGCGCATGACGGGCTGGACCTGCCTGGCTGTGGTGTGCATGGTGTGGACCCTCTCCATGGCCATGGCCTTCCCCCCCGTCTTTGATGTGGGCACCTACAAGTTCATTCGGGAGGAGGAGCAGTGCATCTTCGAGCACCGCTACGTCAAGGCCAACGACACGCTGGGCTTCATGCTCATGCTGGCGGCTGTTATCGCCGCCACCCACCTGGTCTACATCAAGCTGCTCTTCTTCATCCACGGCCACCGCAAGATGAAGCCAGCCCAGCTGGTACCGGCCATCAGCCAAAACTGGACCTTCCACGGGCCAGGAGCCACTGGCCAAGCGGCTGCAAACTGGACGGCTGGCTTTGGGAGGGGGCCTACGCCACCCACCCTTGTGGGCATAAGGCAGGCCACCCACAGCCAGATCAAGAGGCTGCTAGTGCTGGAGGAGTTTAAAATGGAGAAGAGGCTCTGCAAGATGTTCTACATGATCACCTTGCTCTTCCTGCTCCTCTGGTCCCCCTACATTGTGGCCTGCTACCTGCGGGTCTTCATTAAGGCCAGCGCCATCCCCCAGGTCTACCTGACCACCTCCGTCTGGATGACATTTGCCCAGGCAGGGGTCAACCCCATCCTCTGCTTCATCTTCAACAAGGAGCTCAGGGTCTGTCTCCGAGCCCACTTCCCGTGCTGCCAAAGCATCCAGAGCGCCCAGGGCACCATCCTTTGTGATCTCAAGAGCTTTGGGATGTAGGGGGGGTTTTCTCTTTCTAGAAAAGAAAGATGGATATCATTTTTCCATGTTTCTGCATATGATCTCAAGAGAGTGTGACCTGTGGGGGACATACTAAACCACCACCCAGCACCCAAACCTTAGGCTGTAAGAAGTGATTTTCTTTATTTTTCTATATTTTGCGTATGCTCTCTTCAGAACATAAAAGGTTGCTGTCTATGGAAACAGGTACTTGAGCAGAACACCCCTCAAACCTTAGGCAGTAAGAGGCTGTTTTTCTTTGTGATTGTGTGGTTTTTAAAAACAAAACAGGGCTCCAAGTTTCTGGTCTTGCTTCTAACATTTCTAGACATGATTCCAACAGATACGGATTAAGGCCATGACATATTTTTTTTTTCCTATTCCTGTCTGTTTTGATAAAGGCTTAACAATTTTACTCATGTAATATTTGATAAGGGCCAAGACAATTTTCTACTAAAGTTATTTTTGATGACCTCAAGAGGTGTTGTTTTATTATTATTTGATTTTAAGTGAAGAACAAGAAGAGGACATTCCTATTGTGGTCAGAAGTCAGTTTTTGGTGGGAGCTGTTGGGTTCATTCATTCTCAAATGGTTTGAGTATTTGAAGCAGTTACTTATAACTTTTGCTTGACATGCAAACAGTGTAGAACTAAGTTCAATTTTCTTGTTGCACTATTCATTTGGTAATATTTCAGAACTATTTGTGAAACGTGATTTTAAAATACCAACTTTAAAAATAATCAACTATAGCAGTTTTTAAAACCTAGATTGAAATTCATATTTTACTGCCTTTATAGGAAGTTATCTACAAACCTGGGTAATACTTGTACATTTTGACTGTTTTCTTTAATAAAATCTTGAAAACCTTTACTGTATGTAATTGTTTCAGGATGGCAACATTCTGCTTTGCTGACAAATAACTTGTGTATGTGGAAGGTTGTATGTCTCATGTCTGAGTAGATCTCACAGCTGAGGTTATTATGGACAAGCACAATCCTGATTTGCTGTTAGATCTCAATTTAGGTGTTTATACCAATAAAAGTGACTAAAGCTATTTTTAAGAAGACTTAAGTTCATGATGGGCAACAGGTTTAAATAGCGCAATCCTTTGCGTCTACTGAACCCAAATTAACGATAGAAAAGAGCGCATAATTGTGGATCGCTACTTTCAGTTGATAAAGCCATTTTTTAACATGGTGGCTTGGTTAATACTGTACTAGTTTGTAAATTATATTCTTAATGGGTAATTTACATTTATTAAGCATTTAACCTACTTTATTCTACAAAAACTTACCTGAGATTTCTTTAAGCAATCCTGAAGGCAGGATCCTGACACAACATTTTTGCCATCTCGGAGGAAGCCGTTCCTGACAGGCTTGCTTTCTGATGCATCACCTAACACGTAACAAACCTTGATCATCGCGGTGCTGGAGCAAATTGCACACAAAATGACAGAGAAAAGCTCAATTTCCGTGAAGAAATCTGTGTCTGCGCTCAGAGCGTTTCTGCAGAGAGGAGTCCAGAGTTGTTAGAGATCAGCTGAGAAACAGTTGTCCTGACTGGAGCGAGCACAGAAGAGATGTGTGTGACGGATCAGAAAGGGGCTAGGGCGTCAGCTCCGGTTTTAGGCAGGGAATGGAACTAGTGGAGGCTTCTGGTTTGGTTTTAGGTCTTGGTTTCCGTCCCAGCTCAGATTTGAACACCAGCAAGGCAGCATTTCTTGATGTGCATAAGGAGAAGGTTGCAGTTTGAGCTTTGGGTGTAGCTGCAGAGAAGACAGGAGGAGGATGGAGCTGGGCTGGTACTGCCAGAGCTGGGCTAAGAAATACAACCATGGATGGGGTATCTTGAAAACAAAGCGAGGCTTAATGATCATTTCCAAAACTGTTTGGAAATGCATCTGGTTACAGAAGGAAAGCGATCCAGAGCTTCAGAATGCAACAGAAGTTGGTTATAACTGCTAATTGTATTTTCATCCTGGAATATCAGCGCAGACCTTAGTGAATCTTGGCGAGTGATGGGGCTGAGTCGTATCACAAGGACCTAGGGGTAAGGCATTGATGCTGTAGCTGGAAATTGTGTTCCAAGTACACTTTCCATGCCTGGTTTACTGTTAGTTATTTTTTTTCAGCAAGGATCCAATTTTTGCAGACTCATATTTCCTTAAAGCTTAAAAAACTTCCTCTGTAGAGGCCTAGAACTGTGATCTCTAACTCAAATCTTGCCTCCTCCTTCCTAATCCTGCTGGTACTCAAGATGTTTTCTTTTTCATGCTTTTATTAAAAATGCCTGATATTTTGGCATCCCATCTCTCTTCCAGGCTATAAGTAGTATAGTTATGATTCTATATATAAAGTAGTATAGTTATGATTCTATTTAAGCCACAGAGATGAGAAAATATTTTAAAAGCTGCAAGGACCAGATATTTCACTTCTAAAAAAAAAATAAGCACAAGTTGTATAGTCAACCACAAATGCAGGGGATGCAAAATCACCTTTCAGTGACCTAATAGTTTGAGGTTTTTTTAGACATAAACAGCTTATCAAGCCGTGCTGTTGCATTGAATGCCTGCTTCTCTCCATAGGCATCCCTGTCTCAGTGATATCCTCACTTGGATGGGTGAGTCCCTTTCTTACCCACTGAAGATACTGGATGCTTTACTGCCACCCATCAATAGCAGCCAGGCCCAGTCTTGCTACAGCAAAAGGATACAAAGAAGTTTAAAAAGGATACACGTATACCATGCCTTTTGCTTGCATGGAGTTTCCAGGGTTGTCTGAGGACTGCTTGACTTATTTTGAGGGCAGAATCAGCGCTGTTTGAAGTTAATTCTATGTTTTAGGTATTTGTAGTATCAGGCAGATTATGATCCTGGCCACGCTAGTATGAAAGAGAAGGAACTCCAGTAGCTTTAATTCAGGGTTTAGATGAGTGGTGTACAATAGGGTTTCACTCCAGAAAATGTGAAACTAACTATCAAGGACAGACACGTGACAGAAAATGAAGTGGTACTCAGTGCTGGCACACCAACAAACACCACTCCACAAGTCTGTCCTGCTGGCTGGAAGTGCACCAAGAAAGTACAAAAAAACCAGAATGGGCTTGAGAGGCACCAGAGGATAAATATTCCTTCTAAAATCTAAGAAAAGATAAGTAAGTTGCAAAAAAAATAGGATTTCCAAAGCACAGTATTAACATGTTCTCACTGCATTCTTTAGGCTGCATATGGGGAAAGTGGGTCACAGAGATTAAATGCTTTGACCAAGATCAGAGAAGGGGTGTCAGAGAGGATGAAAACCTGCTCTGGGTAATAAAAGTAGACAAATGATGTTAAGAGAATGGGCTGAGCACAGAGGGAGGTTGTTGGGACCTGTGAAGAGTGGCTGTGCGTGCCTCCAGCTGCCCTTCTGTAAACCAGAGAGGTGCTGATCCCGCTCAGAAGCACTAATGACTGAGCCTCATTGAGAGTTGTGTGTTAATAATTACCTCCCATGTCCACGTGAGAAGCTATTGCAGCTGCTTGTGCAAGTCCTGCAGAAACCGAGATGGTCTGAGCCCCTCTCCCCATCCCCACTGACCAAAATGCAAAGCACTTGGAGGGTTTAGTGAGCTGCGCAGCAATGGGGCTCTCCCAGCTCTTCCATCTACCTGTGCTTGCCCAGAGCATGGCTTGAATCATTTCTATACGCTTCCAGGCAGATATGTGACAGCTTTCCATATTCTGGACAACACAAGTGCTGAGTATCACAGGAAATACCAACATCATTTCCCCCAGGGAGTCTCCGCAGTCCGGCTCAGGGATCACAGCATATCTGTGGTGAAGAATTGCAGTGCAGTGAGCTGCTCTGGAAAGATCTTGATTGCCACTGGCATCTTCACTTACTAGGTATTTAACACATTCCTTGCAAACACTCCCAGCCAAAAAACTTGAAGTAAGTGGAGGTTTTTTAGCGTAAACTTCAATGTCAAGGCAGCTTGAAAAATGACACTGGCCTGAAATCTCAAGTAGTGGTGGCCATGGTGATCTCTGCTTTACAACACAGCGGTTAGGGTACTGCTGAGTGCTCCTAGCTTTGCTGCTAGATTTGGAAAGAGTTTGCTAGGAAAGAGGCTGAAATATTTGGCCAAAGCCAAATTATCTTGATGGGTAAAGGTCTCGTTCAGTGTTTGTGCCGGAGGTGGAGGATGAGCAGGGGGATTCAGAGCCCACAAGCTGCCATCATTTGCATTTCCAGTACCAAGTCTGCACCAAGGGAGAAAAAAGCTCCTTCCTCAGTAGCTTTGAAGAAAAGGGCAGGAATTTGGCTTAGTCTGATAGCAACCATTCTTTCCTGGGGCTCTACCTGGATGTGATACAGCTACATCTCCAGAAGGCTGCTCTGCCATATGCTGCGGGGCTGCCCTGGGACACGTTGTGCTGAGCTCAGAAGAGAGCAAAGCTGGCATTTTCCCTCCCTTCCCAGCAAAGGATGTGTGGGTTTTGGCTGGACCCACTAGCACAGTCACCTTGCTCCTGTGCAGCACCTGCACTGGCTCCGAATTGCCAAGAAACCACCCCAGAGAAGTGGCTCTGTACAGAGTAACAGACACACATTGGCAGGATGCGATGTTGAGTATCTCAAGGCACTTCATTAACTTAGGCTGCAGATTAGACAATTCGGTGCAGTATCAGAATACCCCAGAAACCTTATTAGACAGATACGCTGCAAATCAAAACAATATTAGAAACATAGCGGAGGGTGGCTGTTTTCTAATAGAGGTACCCTAAAATCCTCAATTTTAGCACAGCTTCCATTATAGTTGCTCAAAACACTGCACAGCTACAATTAACTCTACCTGATGCGAACCAGGAAGCAACGCCTACACTCTGATGTTCTTAAACTTCAGAATATTACAAAGTATATGACATCTGGAAGAAATGGGGCCATCAGAGGAAGATGGTTAGTGAAGATGGTCTCTGAAAAGCTGGTGCAGGGTCATGTGGGGCTGCGGCAATGGA